ATTAGTCCAAAGGTTTGAGCATTGAAGTTCCAGATCTCAAAATAGGCTCAAATCACCAAATAAGGGGTAGGAGTTTGGTAAAAAGCAGGGTAATCTCCTGCCGTGTGAGGCTATGGTCTATAAAAACCGAGATCTTTAATAAAATTAACTAAATATTCTTAATAAATATTTTTATGTGTTAATTTATTAAAGAATATTTTATTTTTTATTATTATTCTCAACATTTTAATTGTTAAGAAGTTTTAATTTTCCTTGATCTCTTACCAACCATACTGCAATGCACCAAAAATATATATATATATATATTGATGACAGAATGGAACAGATACCCAAGAACAGGGAGAGGCAACATTTGAATTGTGGATAAAAATAAAAAGAAAAGATTAACAGCCAAACGTGTATGGTTGGTTTATCAGATATGATGATACTCTATAAGTTCCACAAGCAACAAAGCAAACTGAAAATAATGAAAAATAGAGGCAGGGTGGGTGACTTTTTAAGCATCCTTCTTCTCGATGAGCTTCTCAATTAGATCTGCTGCATCTTGAACAGTGGCAATGCTCTGAGCACTTTCTTCTTCCACGCTGATCCCGAATTCCTCCTCAAGTCCCATAACAATCTCAACCTGAATAGATGACAATGTTAAACATGATGTTAGTGGGATCTTGATATCTCTATCAACTACATGTATAATTTTTTTTGTTGGATGGAATGTAAATCCAGAACTGAACTATTACAAGGATAATACCATCTACATACATGCAATATAAACAACAGAGTTGAGTATAAATTAGTTAACGGTCAATTTATGATTGCAGTATCCAACAGGTCCACCTATGATTTTGCATTAGAATCAGATTCTGAAAGCATCTATTCCGGTGAATGCAAGTTCATCTTAAACCAGAATACTACCAACAGTGAATACTATAACATAGGTGTATGTACAAGCAAGTAAAACATCAATGAAGGAATCATAGTTATTTTGTTACCGTGTCAAGAGAATCAGCTCCAAGTGCAGCAAATTTAGACTCTCCGGTGACTGCAGAATCCTCAGGTAATGCCAACTGCTTTTTCACTATCTTACAGACCTTCTCCACGGTCTCTGGCTTTGCCTGCAAATGGCATCCATATTGCTGGTTATGCATGATACTGAGGCTTAGAAATGCAAGCAAATGGTTGGCACATAGGATTCAAAAAGTAAATATATTTGTGGTCCTGACTCCTGAGAAATGTAGAACATGCAAAGTACAAAGACTGTATACCACAGAATCTCAGGTTTCATCTACATATGATCAAATTGGACCTCTTTAGAACAATATATCTGATCCAAAAAACAATCCTTGCCATGCAACCATGGCAGTCTATTTTTACATGTAAAATTTATCTATTTAGGAATATAGTTTAAGCAAATGCTATTTCATTTGGATTTCAGATGACTCCATCATGGTAGTAGATCTCAACTCGACAGATAAAAGTATTGCATTCTAAAATAAATTATTTGTTAACAAAGATAAAACAACCCTGGTATGTGAAGTTGACAAGCATACCGCGCAGGAAATTCGGAAGCGGGATAATCCCGGCTGCATTCTAAGAGATGGGTGGCTCTTTTCACTGATGGAGAATGAAACTGATTTCAGTTTTGATACCCCATGAATTGGTACCTGCTCAAACATTTAACCAAATAAACTCAAGGGCTCTTATAAATGTCATTTAACCAGAAAAGGGCTCCTAAAAAGGTCCTTTTAGGCTTTTAGCAAGTTTTTTCCCCCAAGAAATTCAACCTGAATAAAGCTAACCTCAACCAATTCAAGCTTTACTGATTCTTGACACAGCAAAGAACAGAGTTACACAGTGTCGAATTAAACCACATGCTCCATCTCTTGTGCATTTAAACCACAAACAGAACAAAAGATTTCTTTTTCCCTGTAAACTCTAATGCAATTTACCCTATGGCCTATGCATCAAATTAGATGAAATTAAGGCTAAATTCAATACTCCAAAAGGTGCAACTTTTAGTATAATAAAAAATTCAAAAACAATAAAACAGAAAAAATTAACTTAAGAATCTCAAAGTATGCTTTTTGCTACTTTCAAGTTCAAAATCAAATACCCTTCTGACTAAACTGGTTAGAACCTATGAAAGAAATACCAAAACATAAACTCCTTAACAAAGCATCTTAAACTACTTGCATTACTAAAAAACGTGTTCTTTCCAAAGACCCATTAATGGAAGCTACTTAAACGAACCAAAACTAAACAAAAACCATTAAACCACACTACAAAACTCATTTCTGAATTTTTTTTCTTTTTTGAAACAAAAAAAATGAAACCCATCATTTTAACCAAAGACTAGGATCGGAAATCAAAACATCAGATCTTAAGGTAACAAATTAAAAGAAAGACGAAGATCGAGATGGGATGTAACCTTGCTCTGCTTGAAAGAGAGGCAGGTCATTGTTGCCATTGAAGATCCAATGACTGAGGCCATTGAAGAAGAGCTCGATCGATGGAATCAACAAAGGAAATTCAGAGATTCAGAGATCTGAGAAGAATGACGGAGAATACAAAGAGTGTGTGGAGAGAAGGACAGAGCGAGGTGGCAAGCTAAGCGTGGAGCGCTTTATAGAAGGATGGATTCGTTTCTTGTTTGCGTGCACTTGGTTGTTGGGATTTGGTGCGTTCCTTTCTTTGTTTTCATCGAAAATTGGGTTCTGTTTGGACATCCAGCGGAGTTTGGTTGGGGAATCCCTAAAGTTATTTAAGTATGGGAAACGTAAGTTAAGTCCCTAAACTTATTTTAGATTTTTGATTAAGTTTTTAAACTTTTATTTAAATAACTAAACTCCTAAACTTCTCGGTTTGAGTAAGTTAACCTTTTTTTTCTTATAGTGAGCTTAATTTTTGTTTGTGTTATATTTGCATGAAAAAATCAATACTTATTATGCAGATAATAATATATTAATATTTTAACTACACAACTAAGGCACAATTAGATCTATTATAAAGAAAAAAGTTAAATTACTTATATTGCCAAATTTCAAAACTTATTTATTTCAACAAAA